AGAACTGGGGGAGTGGGGGGCTTGGGGGAGGGGAAATCAGATTTGGTGGGGGGGACACACACAGGATAGTGACACCCAGCTCCCCTCAGGCTTCCTCTACATCGCTGCCTGGCCGCCTGAGATGGAGGACCTGGGAGTGTTCCAAAACCTGCGGGTCATCCGGGGCCGTGTCCTGCACAAGTGAGGGGGCACGGGGGGGACGTGAGGGGACACACAGAGGGCAATGCAGGGACATGGGGGGGACACGCAGGGGGATGCAGAGGGACACAGGGGTGACATGGGGGGACATGGGGACATGTGGGGATGAGGGAGGACACAGGAAGGACATGGTGGGACACACAGGGGAACTCAAAGACACAGGGGGACACACAGGGAGATGGGGGGCACATGGAGAACATAAGGGGGGCATGGGGACACAGGGAGGACGTGGGGGGACACTCAGGGTGATGGGGGGACACGGGGGGGCCGCGTGTGTGACCCGTGGGTGTCTCGGCAGCGGCGCCTACTCGCTGACGCTGCGGGACCTGGCGGTGCAGGCGCTGGGGCTGCGGGCCCTGCAGGAGATCAGCAGTGGGATGGTGCTCGTCCACCACAACCCCCAGCTCTGCTTCCTCCAGAAGGTGCCCTGGGACAGCATCTTCCGCAACCCCCGCCAGCGCCTCTTCCAGACGCACAACAAGCCCCCCGAGCAGTGTGGTAAGCGGTGCCCGGGGGGGTGGGGGGAGAGGGTGGAACCCCCCCATCTTTGATGGACCACTCCCGGTGCTGATGGACCCCCTGGTGCTGACGGTGCCCCCCCTGCAGAGAGCGAGGGGCTGGTTTGCTTCCACCTCTGCGCCCACGGGCACTGCTGGGGCCCCGGCCCCACCCAGTGCGTGGCCTGCGAGCGGTTCCTGCGTGGCCAGGAGTGCGTGGCCTCCTGCAACCTCCTGGATGGGTGAGTGGAGACGCCTGGGAAGGGCAGAGCCCCTTCCTCCAGCACAGCTCAGGGGTCCAGGACGCCATCCCTGTGCCCTGTCCCCGCAGAGCCGTCCGGGAACACGCCAATGGGACGCGGTGCCTGCCGTGCCACCCCGAGTGCCAGCCCCAGAACGGCACCGAGACCTGCTTCGGATCGGTGAGGGGAGGGAACACACACACCCAGGGGTGGCACAGGGGGTGTTCCCAGACCACAGGGTGCCTCAACCCCCCTAAATTCCTGCAGGAGCCGGACCAGTGCGTGGCCTGTGCCCACTACAAGGACGCCCAGCAGTGCGTGCGGCGCTGCCCCAGCGGGGTCAAGGCCGATGCCTCCTTCGTGCCCGTCTGGAAATACCCGGACGAGGACGGGGTGTGCCAGCTCTGCCCCACCAACTGCACCCACTCGTGAGTCCGGGGGGTCCCTGGCTGGGCAGGGGAGGGGTCACAGCTGTCAGCAGGGGGGTGCTGACAGCGGGGTGCCACACGCTGTGTCCCCAGGTGCACCATCCGGGATGAGGACGGGTGTCCCGTGGACCAGAAGCCGAGGTAGGAGCGTGGGGGTGTTGTCCCACTCTGACTCCCCCGCCCCACCTCGGGGTGCTGGGAGGTCCCCCATCACCCCATCCCGCCCCCCACGCCCCCCTACCCCGCAGCCAGGTGACGTCCATCATCGCCGGCGTGGTGGGGGCTCTGCTGGTCATCGTCCTGCTCCTCATCACCGTCATCTGCGTCAAGCGCCGGCGGCAGCAGGAGCGCAAGCACACCATGAGGCGCCTGCTGCAGGAGACCGAGGTGGGACCTCCTGGGGGGCAGGGGGGGACCCCCTCAGCACCCAGGGGGTGCCAGGAGCCGGCCCCCCTCACCCCTGTGTGCCCTGCAGCTGGTGGAGCCGCTGACGCCCAGCGGGGCCCTCCCCAACCAAGCCCAGATGCGGATCCTGAAGGAGACCGAGCTCAAGAAAGTGAAAGTTTTGGGTTCTGGTGCTTTTGGCACCGTCTATAAGGTGAGGGGTGGGGGGGCACTGTGGTGGGGCGGGACCCTCCCTGCTCCACGCTCCCCTCACCTGTGTGTGTGTGTCTGTCCCCCCCCACCCTCAGGGCATCTGGATCCCTGATGGGGAGAGCGTGAAGATCCCGGTGGCCATCAAGGTCTTGCGGGAGAACACGTCACCCAAAGCCAACAAGGAGATCCTGGACGTGAGTGTGGCAGCGACACCGCCACGGGGAAAGGGGTGTGGGGCCAGGAGCAGCCCCTGCCCATCCTGACCCCCCCCTGCCCACAGGAGGCCTATGTGATGGCGGGGGTGGGCAGCCCCTACGTGTCCCGGCTGCTGGGCATCTGCCTGACCTCCACGGTGCAGCTGGTGACGCAGCTGATGCCCTACGGCTGCCTCCTGGACTACGTGCGGGAGAACAAGGACCACATCGGCTCCCAGGACCTGCTCAACTGGTGTGTGCAGATCGCCAAGGTAGGACAGGGGGTCTGGGGGGATCTGGGGGTGGAAGGGGGTGGTGGTCCTGGGGCGGGCCAGGGACAGCCAGATGCGTGCCACCCGCAGGGGATGAGCTACCTGGAGGAGGTGAGGCTGGTGCACCGCGACTTGGCCGCCCGCAACGTCCTCGTCAAGAGCCCCAACCACGTCAAGATCACGGACTTCGGGCTGGCGCGGCTGCTCGACATCGACGAGACCGAGTACCACGCCGACGGGGGCAAGGTGGGGGGCACAGGGACAGCGTGGGGAGGCACCTCGGTGCCAGCCAGCTCCCAGGCCCCAGCCCTGCTCACCTCCTCCTCCTCCTCCCCGTGCCAGGTGCCCATCAAGTGGATGGCGCTGGAGTCCATCCTGCGCCGGCGCTTCACGCACCAGAGCGACGTCTGGAGCTACGGTACCTCGGGGTGTCCCCACCCCAGGGGCAGCAGGGAGGGTCCTCAGGGCGCTGCTCACCCCAAACCCATGCCCCTGCTCCCTCCAGGTGTCACGGTGTGGGAGCTGATGACGTTCGGGGCCAAGCCCTACGACGGGATCCCCGCGCGGGAGATCCCGGACCTGCTGGAGAAGGGGGAGCGGCTGCCGCAGCCGCCCATCTGCACCATCGACGTCTACATGATCATGGTGAAATGTACGGGCAGGGGGACGTGGGGCAGCGTGGGGACACACCATCACAGGCAGGCAGCAGGGACAGGGGGGGCCCTGATGGTGTGTCCTGCCCTCCAGGCTGGATGATCGACTCCGAGTGCCGGCCCAAGTTCCGGGAGCTGGTCACTGAGTTCTCCCGCATGGCCCGCGACCCCCAGCGCTTCGTGGTCATCCAGGTTTGTGGGTCCCTGGGGGTCCCCCAGGGGTCCTGTCCCCCCCTGCCAGCGCCCCGGGGTGGGCACTGATCGGTGTGTGCCCCCCCCTAGAATGACCTGGCAGGGCTGCCGGGCTCCATGGACAGCACCTTCTACCGGGCGCTGCTGGAGGAGGAGGACATGGATGACCTGGTGGACGCCGAAGAGTACCTGGTGCCTCACCACGGCTTCTTCAGCGCCGACACCTCCACCACCTACCGCAGCCGCATCTCCTCCGTGCGGGTACGGGGCGGGCTGGGGCAGGAAGGGACCCCCCGCTCCTGGCACAGCTGTGGGGTGACCCCACGGGACCGGGACGGTCCTCGGGGTGACTCTGTGTCCTCTCCCGCTCCCAGAGCACGGCGGAGTCTCCGGCCAAGGTGGAGGAGGGCGAGGGCTTGTCCTCCTTCCCCTTCCCTGCCCAGGGCCTGGTGGAGGGGCCGGAGAGCCCCGTGCCAGAGGTGCCAGAGGGGGAGGGAGGGGTCAAGGCGGCCCTGCAGAGCCCCCCGGGGCGGGAGCCCGGCCCCCTGCCCCGGTACAGCGAGGATCCCACCGGGCTGGCGGCCGAGGACAGCGAGGACCCCGAGGGCTTCACCGCCACGGCCCCCCACAGCACCATGCCAGGTAGGGAGGGCACGGTGGGGACCCCCACAGGGGGCAGAGGGAGAGGGTCTGCCTGCCCCCTCCCCTTCAGAGGGTCCCTGACGTGTCTCTCCCCCCGCAGAGTACGTGAACCAGGCCGGGGAGCGTCCCCCCCGCGCGCCCCCGTCCCCGCCGGACAAGCCCAAGGGGCACCAGGGCAAGAACGGGCTCATCAAGGAGCCCAAGCTGCCGTTCCCGGGGCCCTTCGGCCACGCCGTGGAGAACCCCGAGTACCTGGCCCCACCCCCCGGCCCCTTCAGCCAGGCCTTCGACAACCCCTACTACTGGAACCAGGACCCCCCCAAGGGCGGGGGGCCCGAGGGCGGCCCCGGCGCGACGCCCACGGCCGAGAACCCCGAGTACCTGGGCCTGGCCGGGCCCGAGGCCGTGTGAGAGACCCCCTGACCTCGCCCAGGCAGCTCAGGGAGGGACGAGCCGCGGCCATGGGGCTGGGCACGGTCCCCTCTGCCCCCCACCCCGGGGGCGGCCCCGGCCATGCAGGGGCTGGGAGAGCCCAGGACGCTGAGGGACAGCGAGGTGTGGGGACAGAGGGGTGACCCCCACGCCGGGGGGTGCCCAGGGAAGGACAGACTGGTACCATCACCCCCCCACTGCAGGGCTGTCCCCGTGTCCCTGTCACGGCTGGGACACACGGACTTGCACTGAGAGCAGCCGGACAGGACGCCGGGCGTGTCCCGGCTCCCCCGGGATCCCTTGGAAGCCCCGGGATGTATATTTGAGGATTGTACATTGGTTGTTTTTTCTACTCCTCTGGTCTGTGTGGTTCTCTCTTCTCCATCCGACCCAGCCCCGTCTCCTGAGGGCCAGGATGTCCCTTCCCTCCCCCTCCCTCTTCATTTCCCTTCCCCTTCCCTTCCTCTTTGCTCCCCTCATCTATTTGATTCCCCCTTTTCCATCAGATTCAGTTCCATCTCCAGTATGTCCCTTTCCCCATCCCTGTTTCCTTTCCCTTCCCTCTTGCCTGGGGAAAAATTCCTAATCCCACCAACCCTGAGCAGGACACAGGAGCTGTGTCCCATCCCCATTCCCAAAGGACACAGAGGAGCCACATTCTCCATCCTCTATTCCACCTCCTCCATCCTTTATTCCACCTCCTCCATCCCTCACTCCGTCCCAGCCCTTGGGTTTATACACAGTATAGAATAAATAGGGGCCCCCCCTGCCCCGAGGCCAAGGGCAGGGTCATTCCAGGCAGGAAGCAGGAGCCTGGGAATGGGGAGGGGTCAGGGACAAACACACCCGTGGCCAGGCCGGGGTTGCCATGGCCGGGAGGGGCCCCGTGCCCCCGCCTGGATTAAACAGTGACAGAGCTGTTTAATCCTTAACCAACCCCAGGAAAGGCCCAGCCAGTGGATTTCCCTCTGGAATTCACCTCCTGGGAGCTGCAGAGACCTCACCGCTCACGGGGGGCCCCAAGTTCCCAGGGGTTCAGGGAGGGGAGAGGCCCATGGGGGGCTGTGGGGTTTGGGGGACCCCCTGTGCCCCCCCCCCCAGGGAGGTGCCACAACAGGGGGTCCCCAGGAGGCTCCCAAATTCCCCCAATTTCCTTGCTCCCCCCCCATCAGGCATGCAGGAATTGACCAAAGGCAGCGAGGGGTGATGGGGGGGGACACCCTGACATCCCTGGTCCTCCTTGATGTCCCCAGTGAACCCCCCCGGGTCACAGCAGCGAGGGGGGACCCCCACGTCCCTGGGGGGGCTACAGGATGGTGCAGGGGGGGCGGCTGTTGGTGATTTTCTCCAGGGGTTCCCCGTTCCTGGCCCTCCGGATGGCCTCGATCAGCTGGGGAGACACGGGCAGGGTCAGGCTGGGAGGGCTGGGACACCACACAGGGGGGTCACACGGGGACAAATCCCTGCCAGGGCGAGGCAGGAGCTGCAGGAACTGCCCCTCTCCCCCCTTCCCAGCGGGATCTGGCAGGAAGGGGAACAACTCCTGCTGGGATCGTGAGGGGGATGAAATGAAACAGGGACCCCCCCATGGGAGAACCCCATCATGGAGGGGGGGGCTCAGTGCAAACCAAACCCCCCCTGGCTGAGCCCAGGACCCCCAGGATGGGCCCCTAGGGCGACACTCACGTCCTTCTCGTAGGGAAAGCCCCCGTTCTCCAGCTTGGAGAAGACGAGCTGCCCGTTGATCTCGATCTCGAAGGCGCCTGAGGGCACAGGGGGAGCCCAGCCCTGAGCTGTGCCCCCTCAACCAACAGCCCCCACCACCCAGAGCATCCCTGGGGGGCTCCTGCAGACCCCCCAGAGCCCAAACTCTGCACCCAAAATGACCTCCCCCCCCCAGACTCACCGCGGGGTTGAACCCACCTCAACCTCCCCAAGGTACCTGTCAGGGCAGGTGTGACCCCCCTCCTGCGGTGCCCCCAGGAGCCCCCGAGGGCGCTGTGGGGCCTCACCAGTGCCCCCCAGGCGGGACTCGATCTCGATGTCCGGGTACTCCTCCCGCACGGCGCTCGCCAGCTCCTGGTACGTGGGCTCGAACCCGCAGGGCTCGCTGGGGGTGGGGGATGAGGCGAGGGGGGTCGAGGCACAGGGACCCCCCAGCACCCGCCTGTACCTCCCCCCTGCAGCTCTGGAGCATCCTGTACCCCCCAAAATCCCAAACCTCCAGCCAGGAGCCCTCCCCGACCCCCTGCACCCCCCTCGGATCCCATAACCCTGCGACCCCCAATTACCTCCCCAGCTCCCCCCGCCCTGCAGACCCCCAACAAAGCCCTGCTCCATCCCCACTTCCCTCGCCCTGGAGAGCCCCCAGCCGCCCAAATCCTTCTCCTCAGTCCCCCAACCCCTATAAACCCCCTTACCCCCAAGCTCCCCTAAATCCCCTCCTCAGCCCAGATCCCCTATAACCCCCCTCCGCCCCCAACCCTTCTATAACCCCCAGACCCCCAAATTCCACCCCAGCCCCCAAACTCCCGCACACCTCCCTCCTCAGCTCCTCCTTCACCTCCCAGGCCCCTCCGTGTCTTCTCTCCCCACCCCTCATCCCAATCCCCCCTTCCCCAGTCCCCACCGCCCCGCACAGGCCCCGCACACGCTCGGGAGCCGCGGGATCGCCTGCGTGCCCGCGGTTCCCGCTGCCGCGGGCGGTGCCGGCTCTCACCAGTACTCCACGACGATGCGGACCCGCCGTTCAGCGCCATCCCCGCTCCCGGCCCCGCTCCCGGTCCCGGTCCCGTCCCCGGCCCCGCCGCTCATGGCCCCGCTCCCGCCGCGCCGCCGCTTCCGGGTTGCCGTCACGTGACGCGGCGCCTTCCGGCCGCTCTGCGCCGCCGCCCCGCCCCGTCTTGTCTGCTCTGCGAGACCTCCGGAGGACCCGGCGTGACCCCGGTGACCCCCGGGGGACACAAATTGACCCCCCCAGGAGGACTAAAAATGACCTGCAGTGACCCAACCACCAGTGTCACCTACACCCACCCCAGGGGGGACCAAAAACGACCCCCGGTGACCTCTCCTGGGGGACCCGGAGTGACCCCAGTGTCACCCGAAAACAACACAGGGGGAGCCAAAATGACCCCCAGGGGACCCGCACAGGGACCTGAAATGACCCTCCCAGGAGCCCTCTGGTCCCACGGGAGTCCCCACTGCTCTGTGGACCCCCACCCTACCCAATACTCCCATGGGGTCCTGTGGGGCCTTGTGCCCCCACCCATGGACCCTCAGGACCCCCACAGGGCCCTCAGCATCCCCCTGGGGACCCCCCAAATCTCCCCACAGCCCCCCTCCCATGGGGGGTCCCCACATCCCTCCTGCTGCCTGCACGAGACCCCCATGAAAAATCCCCCACCCAAGGAGTCCCTCCCACCTCTGATGACCCCGTGGGACCCCCCACCCTTTGTGGGGTCCTTCCAACCCAACACTGGGGGGTCTCAGGGGAGCCCCGACCCAAAACCCACACCCTGAGGGTGGAGACCCCCATGGGGGTGGGCTGGGGCCCGTGGAACCCTCAGCCCCAGGACATCCCAGGGGTCCCTGTGATCCCCTCAAGGGCCCTGTGTCCCCCAGCTTTGGCTGCTCCAGGGCTCACCCCGGTGCATTGTGGGAAACTCCCCATCCCCTCCTCATGGGGGGCCGTGGGTGGGTTTGGAGGGTCCAGCCCCCCGGGGTCAGCACGGGGCCGGGCTGGGCATCCCCCCCGCGGGTCCGGGGGAGCTGTGGGAGCCCCCCACGGGTGCATTTGGGGCCGGGGCCGGGCGGCAGCCCCGGGGCGCGGTGATGTCAGGCAGGGGCGGGGGCAGGCGCAGGTAGATAAAGCCGGGGAGAACAGGAATGCCCGGTCCGGCGGGAGGGTGGCGGGACGCGGCGGGCGCCTGCAGGTAGGAGCGGGGTCGGGCCGGGGGGTCCCGGGGCCGGGGGGGCCGCTGCTCAGCCCAGGGGGTTGGCCCCATCCCGCCGGGAACGATCCCGGACCCCTGGTTGGGACCCTGCCCCTTCTCTCCCTCCCACCTCCCTCCCGGCTCTTCCTCCTCCTCTGCCACCCCCGTGGCTTCCCCGACACCTCTGTGCCCCTGGGGAGCCCGGGACCCCCACCTGGGCACCCACCGGGACCCCCACCCACAGCTGGGGGGGCTTGGCACCCTGTCCTCTTATCCTGGTGGCCCTGGGACGCCCTCCCTTAGCCCTGGTGGCTCTGGGACCTCATCTCCTTATCCTGGTGTCCCTGGGATTCTGTCCCTCACCCTGCTGGCTCTGGGAAGCTGTCCCCTAATCCTGGTGGCTCTGGGACCCTTCCTGTAGCCCTGGTGGCCCCCAGACCCCACCCCACAGCCTGGACATCCCCCTGCCCCCCAGTCCTGCTGGCCCTGGCTTGTCCCTTCCTGGTGGTCCCCCTGCTCCATCATCCTGGTGGCCCCACGGCCCAACCCAGCGGTCCTGACCCCCTGCAGTCCCCCACCCCATCACCCTGGTGGGCCCTGTCCCCTTCCCCCATAGCCCCAAGGCCCTGGGTCCCCCTGTTTGTCCCAGACTGTGGGGACACCCTGAGTGTTCCCCTGCCACGGTCACCACCCCGTCACAGCCCCGGCAGGGCCACCAGGGCAGGGCTGGCCCCGGGGTGACCTGAGGCCATGGGGATGGGCTGTGTTGGTGGCAGGGCTGTGTCCCCGTCCCAGGGCCCTGGGGGTCCCCATCTGTCACATCCCCCGTGTCCCACCATGGGCACTGTCACCCCACCTTCCCCCCGGCTGTCCCCTGTCCCCCCCAGGGTCCGGCCAGGCAGGGAGTGCAGATGGAACAGAATGTCCTGGTGGGACACTGTGGGGACAGGGATGGAATGGGGGTGGAGCAGAGGGACACCGGGATGGGGACACGGCGACAACAGGGATGGGATGGGTTGGGATGGCACCGGTGCTGCCCGGCCATGGACTTGGCCCCGGGAGCTGGCAGGAGGCGGGGAGGGGCACGGGGAGGGGACAGCACAGGGCTGGGCAGGGGCAGAGGGTGGATGATTAACCCGAGTGCCCGCGGCCTCCTGGGACGTCCCCGCCGAGGCCACAGCCACTGAGTGTCACCAAGTGTCACCAAGTGCCACCGAGTGTCACCAAGTGTCACCGAGTGCCACCGGTGCAGCCGCGGGTGCCACGTGTGTTACGTGAGCCACGTGCTGGTCACTCCAGGGCCGGACCCAGAGCGTGGTCGGTGTCCGAGCCCTCCCCGTGCCGTGGCACCGGCACCGGCGGGACCAGGGGGACGATTCCGGGGTCCCCCCGACGCGGGGGGCTGGCGGCGGTTCCCACGGCGGGCGCCGGCTCCCTCGCCCCCGGATGCCAGGGCGGTGAGGTGGAGCTGGGAGCGGCCGCCAGAACTGGTTTGGCCGGACCCGAGGAGGTGTCTGGGCTGAGCCGCCGCCGCGCTCCCGCTTCCTGCTCCCCACGGCGCCGGCACGGCCCGGCCTGGCAAAGCTCGGTCTGGCACAGCCCGGCCTGGCAAAGCTCGGCCCATCAAATCTCAGCCTGGCACAGCTCAGCCCAGCACAGCTCAGCTGGTGTCTCCCGGTGCCCACAGACCCCCAGTGCTGACCTGGGTGCGCTGTGAGGGTCCCGTGAGGGATGTGGGGGGATTCTCAGCTGTCTCGTGGTGGGTTGTGCTCAGCACCAGTCTCACACCCCTGTCCCCAGCATCAGGACAGGTCTGGGGGGTCAGGGACACCCCAACCCTCGGGTTCAGCCAGCCCCCCTCGGGTGGGGGTTCTGTTTGTCTGGGCACTGCTAAAACACCCCCTGGGTGGGTGCCAGGGGTGGGATCCCCTCAGCAGCATCACAGCACTGGTGGCGTGTGGCTTGTGGGGAGCCTGGTACAGCGTCCCATGGGGGCTGCCCACACCTTACCCTGCATCCCAAACCTGGCCCTGGAGCCCAAACCTGGCCCTGCATCCCACACCTTGCCCTGCATCCCAAACCTGGCCCTGTATCCCACACCTTGCCCTGCATTCCAAACCTGGCCCTGCATCCCAAACCTGGCCCTGTATCCCACACCTTGCCCTGCATCCCAAACCTGGCCCTGGATCCCAAACCTGGCCCTGTATCCCAAACCTGGCCCTGTATCCCAAACCTTGCCCTGCATCCCAAACCTGGCCCTGGATCCCAAACCTGGCCCTGCATCCCAAACCTGGCCCTGCATCCCAAACCTGGAGCCCCGGACAGTGCTGGACTTGCTCTCTCCCCACAGATAATGCCATGGAGGGGGGGGCTCAGCAGAGCAGCCTCCGGGAGCCCCCCGGGCCGGGCGGGGCGGAGCAGGAGGGGGTCCCCGGCGAGTGGGACGGGGGCGAGGGGCCGCCCGAGGTCAAGCGCTCCCAGCCCCTCTTCATCCACGGCAGCAGGTGGGTGGGGGTCTGGAGGGGGCGCGGGGGGGGTCACAGAGGTGTCACAGAGGTGTCACAGAGGTGTCACATCCCCCCCCACCCTCGCCCCGTGCCCGCAGCCGGACACCGCCCCAGGAGGAGCCGCGCGCGTCGTCGCTGCCCAGCATTCCCAACCCCTTCCCGGAGCTCTGCAGCCCCTCCAACTCGCCCATCCTCAGCAGCCCCGCCCTGGGCCAGGGATCCCCCCGCGAGGGCACCTCCCACGTGAGTCTGGGAAGGGGGGGTTCAGCCCTGGCACAGGAACCCCCCGTGTGAGCCTTGAGGGGCTGGGGAGGGGGGTTCTTGGTCCTGGGACAGGGACCCCCCCCACACCCCACGCGTCATGGGGCTGGGAAGGTCCCATCCCTGGGGCAAGGAGCACCCCCCACGCGAGTTCAGGGAAGGGTGGTGCCGTGGCAGGTGGTGAAGGTGTTCGGCGAGGACGGCGCGTGCCGCTCCCTGGAGGTCTCGGCGGGCACCACGGCCCGGCAGCTCTGCGAGACCCTGGTGCGCCGCACGCGGGCGATCCACGACCACAGCTGGGCCCTGGTGGAGCTGCACCCTCACCTGGCCCTGGGTGAGCCCTCGCTGGGGGAGGGGGAAAAAGGCACACGGGGGGATGGGGGCATGGCTGGGGCTCCCCCAGTCCCCCCCTCTGACCCCCCGTGCTCCCCCCAGAGCGGTGCCTGGAGGACCACGAGGCGGTGGTGGAGGTGCAGAGCTCCTGGGCCGCCGGCGCCGAGAGCCGCTTCGTGTTCCGCAAGAACTTCGCCAAGTACGAGCTCTTCAAGAGCAGCGTGGTACGTGGGGCCTGCAGGGACGGGGGTTAAAAACCCATGGGCACCCCCAGCACCCCAAGGGGCTGGGCTGACCCACCCCACCCCGTGCCCCCAGCAGTCGCTGTTCCCGAGGTGATGGTGTCCAGCTGCCTGGAGGCCAACAAGAGCATGGCACACTCCGAGCTCATCCAGGTACGGGGTGCTCTGATGGGACTGAGGCGCCCTGGCGGCCCCGGGGACCCCGCCGTGCCCCTCAGCCCCCGTGTCCCCCCCCCCAGAACTTCCTCAACTCTGGGAGCTGCCCCGAGGTGCAGGGGTTCCTGCAGCTGCGGGAGCCCGGCCGCAAGGTCTGGAAGCGCTTCCACTTCTCCCTGCGCCACTCGGGGCTCTACTACTCCACCAAGGGCACCTCCAAGGTGAGGGCACGGGGAGTACTGGGGAGGGGAGCACAGCCAGAGGGTGCAGCCTGACACCCCCCATGCCACCAGGACCCCCGGCACCTCCAGTACTTCGCTGACCTCACCGAGTCCAACATCTACTACGTGACCCAGGGCAAGAAGCTCTACGGGACCCCCACCGAGTTCGGC